CCAGAATGCTGCACACCAAACACAAGCAAGACACTTGGAGTAGGAGGGTCTTCGCCCCATCACTACAGACACTGAGCTGTGCAACCCAAAAATATGCATGAAAGGATCTAAAGGGTAGAGAGTAGCTGGACATGATGGCACAAGCCTGTCATCCAAGCATCAGGGTAGCAGAAGCAGCACAGTTCAAGACCAGCTTGGGCTATGCAGTGAACCCTTGTCCCAAAAAGGGATGGGGAAGACACAGCAGAGGGAGCCATCTAGAGGCTTAAAGATGACCAAAGGCCAGTGTAGACAGGGGGCAGAGCCTGTCAGTACCTGGTAAGGTGTTCTTGGTGGGGAAGAGGTTAGAAGAGAGGACACTTCCCATGGGCATAGGGCAGACAGGCGGGAAGGGTGGAGTGTGTTCAGAGATCGGTGAGTAATGTATGCCATTGCTTCTGAGCATCCTGCTTGGGGCGCGGGCAGAGCCTCCAGGATGGTTAGCTGTCAGCCGGCCCCTTGGGGAAGGGTGGGGAAAGGAGTAGGAGACAGACTGATGGGTGGCTGTAGGGAGAAGGCTGCAGCCCAAGTGCAGGAACAGCGACCTTGGATGTGGTGTCACGGGGCTTGTGTGAGCATTCCCTTTCTTGGGAGGCTGGTGTAGTATGGCAGGGCTTGGGCGTGGAGAGAGTCGTGGTAGAGAGAGACTGTTACAAGTCCCTGGGGCTTGTGAAAAAGCTAACCGGTGCCTACACCAAAAGTTAAGCTGGGACAGGCCCTGCGGCAGAAGAGACTGTTTAAAATGCCTGTCGAACCACACGTGGGAGTAGAATCCTGAGCTGGGGGGTTGTCCTGCTTCTCTTGAGTATGCTCAGTATTTCTCAAGGACCTATCTTCCTCCTCTTCTCCCTGCCCCCCTCCCCCGCCCCTGCTAGGGGCTGCCTCCTCTCTGTCTCCCTCCTCCTCCTTCCCTCCCCTTTGTCAAACCCTAGGCCTTGTGAATAAAGGCAAGCCTTCTTCAGCTGCAGCTGCTCACAGCAAACAGGACGGACGTTCCCATCTCACAGCCAAAGAAGCTGAGGTCAACCTTGTTCTCCCAAATTCTCTCCTCAGCCCCCTCTTAACTTTCTTTGTTTGTTTCTTTTTCCAGACAGGGTTTCTCTCTGTTGCCCTGACTGTCCTAGAACTTGATCTGTAGACCAGGCTGGCCTCCAGAGATCCACCTGTCCCTGCCTCCTGAGTGCTGGGACTAAAAGTCACCACCAGCCAGCTTCCTTTTTACCATTTTGAATCCAAGGTTTACCTTCACATCTATGTCCTACCTTCCCACAACAACGCAGGGGTTGGGGACACAGCCCGTGAAGACTCAGGAAAGCCTGGCGCAAGCTTCTCTGGGGCTGAGGGCTAGACTTCCACTGAGCAGCGTGCCCTTCCCAGACTGTGGGACTGCCATCTTTCATCTCAGGCCACGTATTTCAGCTTTAGAGTTCATTGCTTCATTTTGTTTCTTTCCCAGGTTGTCCTTGTTTGCCTTGTATTCCAGCCTCCTGAGTGCGGAGGTTACAGACATGCGCCTCCACACAGAACTCCTGTGGTTATCATTAGAACCGAAGTAATTTGCTTTAGCTTCTGGGACAGTGTAGTGGATCTGTCAAACTGCAGACCCCAGTACTGAGGCAGGGGAAACGTTGCTGTGTGGTTTGGGGCGAGTTGCTTGGGTTCTCTGCATTTTGCTCACTAGATGGTGACTGTTCTCACCTCCTTTGCTGAACTAAATGAGAGCCCAGCTGACTCATGTCCTGTATTTAGTGCGGCGCCAGATGCTAGGTATGGTCCTCCATAACCATGAGCGGCGTGGTTCCGGATTGGTGGAGCCGAGGCTACACAACATGCTACACACAGCTATACTACATGCTACACTACATGCTACACACAGCTACACTACATGCTACACACAGCTACACTACATGCTACACACAGCTACACTACATGCTACACACAGCTACACTACATGCTACACACAGCTACACACAGCTACATTACATGCTACACTACATGTTACACACAGCTACACTACATGCTACACACAGCTATACTACATGCTACACACAGCTACACTACATGCTACACACAGCTACACACAGCTACATTACATGCTACACTACATGTTACACACAGCTACACTACATGCTACACACAGCTACACTCCATGCTACACACAGCTACACTACATGCTACACACAGCTACACTACATGCTACACACAGCTACACTACATGTTACACACAGCTACACTCCATGCTACACACAGCTACACTACATGGTTCCAGTACGTGTACAAGACAATGGGGCAGGCCCATCGTCCTCCCACACTCAATTCTGACAGGCCAGCAGATGCTCCAACACCCACCTAAAACCCGTTAGTAGAATAACTTTCCTGAAGTCATTATTTAAACAAGCACTCTGCCTGGGCTGGACCCACCCTTTCCTGGGGTGGGAAATCAGGAAGCCTGGCACTCGCCACCATCTTTCTAGACTCCTGGGTGGACTGCCATTTTGAGGCCAACTGAAAGGTCGTCATTGGTCATGGCTCCTTTGGGCCTACTCTGTGCAGAACCTGAGTTTGAGCTGACACACAGAAACACTGCCCACATGGCTTTTCTCAAAACTGACAGCAGTGACTCACTCAAAGGTCACCAGCGCCTGGAGCTGCATAGGGCAAAGTGATTCACTGCCTCTACCCTGCCTGGCCCCACAGCTGCCTGGCCTCTGAGCTGATATCCTCAACCCTGAAACTCTCCGCCCAGAGGAGGGGGCCTCCCCATTCTTAGATGGTTCTGCTAAGAAGAACTCGGCTCCAGGGAGAGCTGGCCTGCTCATACTTCAGCTAGAGAGATCAGGGAGGGGGACCCAGGTCTCCTTCAGCTTCCTGCACCTCCTGGCAGTGCTCACCCTGTAAGGCTCTAGGTCCTCTGTAGCCTCTTGGTAGAACAGTTACTATCCAGCTTCCAGGACACACACACACACACACACACACACACACACACACACACACACCACACACACTGTGAGACAGCATCTTGTTTCTAAGAAAAGGCAGAATGAGCCAGTGGATATCACAGTCCCTGATAAACAGAATGTCAATAAACCATGTGACAACATGTTTACTCTTCGGTTTAAAGAGGCAGTCCCTTCCTGACCACGTTAGTTTCATAAAGAAGCAAGAATACAGAACAACAAAGATGAAGGGCTGAATAATGGGGTTGACTTGAAGGGATCCCCAGTCTTGGGAGTCAGATAGGGCCTGGCAAGAGGGCTAAGGGATTGTAAACTGGAAGGGGGAAGGCAAGGCAAGGGGCGGGAATTAGGTCTTTGGTGTGCTTACCCTCTACCCACCCATCCCAATCACAAGCCCATATACTGTCAGGTCCTGGAGGTACTCGGGGCCCCAGAATGGACCTCTGAGTTTTTACCCCTACTCCCTCTGCAGCCCGCTGTTGCAACTCACACCAACTATATCCAGCGAGTGGCCTTTAGGTTCCCAGGTTTCCCTGGCTGGCAGGATTCTCTGGGGCTGTGTGCCTAGAACAGGGCCTCTTGGACCCTAGACTCAGTGTCCCACTATTACTAAATGAAAATACAGGGCTAAAGAGAGCAGGCCCTCTGCGAGCCCCTGAGAGATGGGCACTGGGAGACAGATCTCAGACTAAGAAAGGAAGAGAACAATGTGGGTTCTGTTTGTACTTCTGGGAAGAAGGGTCCTTCTACCTCTCCTCCATGGGCCTGGCTTTCCTCCTGATCTAATCTCAGTTTCCTATCTACCCACAATCTGGGTAGAACTGAGCCCCAAAGCCAGGAGCCCAGGCTCATGTACCCTCCCTAGCAGGGTTTGGGTTGGATGGGGGTCACCTGGTGTGAGCTCTGCAGACAGGCCCTGAGTGCTGTCCCTTGGCCATGGGAAAGGCCGAGGCAAGTAGGAGCCAGGGATTCTGAGTCCATGAAACATGAATGAGTCACACTGGATGGCTCTGCTCCCTGATCCAGCCCACATTCCCGGGCCTTTGTTCTGACCCGCCTGGGCTCTGACCTTAAAGGGCCAGATCTTCTGAGGTACCACTGGCCTCCCTCCCATCCCCCTCCCTTAGCCAGATCCCTGATGGAGTTGTAGTGGGCTTGGGGCTCAGGAGAAGAGGATGTCTTACTGCAGGGTTCAGGGGAACAGCCCATTCCATCCTCAGGCCCAGGAAGGCAGGGAAAATATTTTCCTCACTTGCAAAGATCCAGAGAGGGGACCCTCCTCAAAGCCATTTCCTCCAGGGTCTCATAGCAGCTGCCTCTGACTCCTCCTCCCTCCCCAGGCTCCAGGTCCACTGCAGTCCCCACACCCATCAGCCCACCCTGACCTGGCTTCTTTAGATTGTTTTGTTTGGGTTTGCTATCTTGCTGTGTGGCCCAGGATGGCCTGAAATTCCCATTCCTCCTGCCACAGTCTCCTGTGTGTTGGCATTGCAGGCAGTACCACCAGGTTCCATCAGCACTGAATGTCTTTAGCTGTCCCTTCACGGTGGTGTCTGGTAGGTTCTAGGCTATTCCCTTGTGTTGTCTTCAGGCTCAGGTCCCTGGATTCCTCTACAATCTGGGCCTGTCATATGGTGGCAGGCACTTCCTCGGGGCTGAAAGAGCACCCCGACAGCCAGTACCCAAGCAGTTTCTTCAAACCTCGCATGCCACCCTGTGGACACAGGAGAACTATCCTTCCGGAGAGGAGCCCAGTAAAGCAAAATGAAAGTGAGAGACCTAAATTCAAAGAGGCCTACACCTCCTACCGGGAGTCCCACATCCTCTCTAAAACAGGCTCTTAAAGAGACAGCAGCAAAAGGTAGGGAGGCCGCACGTGGCCCGGTGGCGGAATACATGATGTGCACGTGTGAATACGACGCACACAGAGACAAGCGCCCGGCCGGGGGGGGGGGGGGGGAGGAGGAGGCTGAGAAATTACAACATTTTTTGCAGAAATTTGGAAAGAGGTACTCACCCACTCCGGTACCCCTTTGTCCTCCTAGCCTCACGCACAGTCAGTGTGCACACATGGCTAGAGGGCTGAATTAAGGCTTGCCCACTGCAAGCTTTTAGAGCTAGCCCAGTCTAGCAACTCTTGAACCACGAGTGAGCTGCCTTTGGGAGGAGGAACAAGGTACTGGAGGATGGGTAAGGAGGGGCTTGGGAGCCGGTGGGTATCAGCTCAGTGTGGGCAAGGGTGGGGGGAGGAGGAGGATGTTGATCAGGTGAGCTATCTGTGGGTGTCCTTCATGACTCAGAACAGGCCTTTACCAAGTGGGCCAGGACTATAACCTTGTGACCCAAGTGACCATTGGCCTTTGTGGGGTTAGTCCTGAGATCCTTGACTTTTAACTAGCCAGGCCACCTGACCCCACACAGAGACTTGCTTGAATTTCATTTATAAAAGCTGTGGGTGAGGGAGTGGCTTTCCAAGTCCAACAGGTCCTCACCCCCAATCTGTTACCACCTCCCCAACCTCAGCACTGGCTGCAAGCCAGACCCCAGAAAAATCCAATGGGGGGAAAGGTCAGAGAAAGACAGGACTACCCCGTGCCTTCTATGTCTACAGCTCTCTCTCTTATTCTCTAGGCTTCCTCTGAAGCCTAGTCTGATTTGTGAGGGGACAGGGTGTATAAAACCAAACTTACATAGCAGAGGATGACTTGGAACTTTTCTTTCTGGCTTGTTGGTTTTTTTTTTGTTTTTTTTTTTTAAGAGTGGCCCATGGGACTGGAGAGATGACTCAACGGTTCCAAAGGTCCTGAGTTCAATTCCCAGCAACCACATGGTGGCTCACAACCATCTGTAATGAAGTCTAGTGCCCTCTTCTGGCCTGCAGGCATACACACAGACAGAATATTGTGTACATAATAAATAAATAAATATTTTTTTTTTTTAAAAAAAAGAGTGGCCCATGCCTTCAATCCAAACAGGCAGAAGCTGGTGGATTTCTGTGAGTTCAAGGTTAGCCTGGCCTACATAGCTAGTTTGAGGAGAGCAGGGGCTAGGTAGTAAGACTCTGGTTCCTGTGTGTGTGTGTGTGTGTGTGTGTGGGTGGGTGTTCTATCTCTCCGCATGTGCATGGTGTATGTGCACCATGTGCTTGCAGGCTCCCAGGGGAGTCCAGAAGAGAGTACTGGATCCCCTAGCTTTGGAGTTGGAGGTGGTTGTGAGCCACCACATGAGTGTCAGGTACCGAACCTGTGTCTTCTGCAGGAGCAGCAAGCGCTCAGCTGAGCCAATCTCTTCTGCATCTGGGTTTTGTTTTTAAATTTTATTTTTTAGTTTTGGGAATTTGAATTGACTTTATTGTTTTGTAAATGTGAATTTCATAAAGTGCTTTACAGTTAAGAAAGACATCCGCACACTTCTGGCTTTAAAGCAGCTCTGGGCACAGGTTCACCACCTTGAAGTGTCCCTGGTCCTTCCCTCAGCCGCTTCTAGCAGTTTTAGTTATTGATACAATGTTATCATCCATGACTACAAAGTAAGTATTATCACTAAAAGATCACAGCACAGGGAGAGAGGAGCAGCTGGGGGGGGGGACGAAACAAAGGCTTCCTCCTCACCCCCTGCAAACAAAAGAAAGCCAGCCACCCAAGGTGGTGGGAGCTGCTCTAACGCAGGGGTTCAAGAAAAACCTGGGATTTTATTAACTTATTTTTTAACAGTTGTGAGTTAGGTGATGTTTTGTTTGGTTGGTTTTTTGTTTTGAGACAGTATTTCTTCATGTAACCTTGACTGTCCACGAACGCCTTCTCTAAAACAAGATGGCCTCGAATTCAGAGATCTGCCTGCTTTTGCCTCCTCTGCTGGGATCAGGGGTGTGGACCACCACCAATTGGCAGGATGCTATTTTAACCCCTAGACATCACCTTCAAAATGCATCTCTCTGCCTTCTCTTTTCCACAGAGCTCAGGGAAGGATAAATGTTCTATTTGCAACCGGGACTACCCAAATGTTCAAATAAAACATATTTGAACATTTTGTAGATTAATTAAATTTGTGTAGGCGATGGAATGTTCATGCACATGCTTGTAGAGGTCAGGGTTCAAAGTTGGGTATGTTCCCTATCACTCTTGGCTCTATTTGAGACATTCTCTCACCACACCAGGAGCTCCTGGATTGACTAGGCTGGCTGGCCAGCAGACTCCAGAATCCACCTGTTTCTGCTCCCCCATGCCTGGCTCTTATGTGAGCGCTGAGGATCTGAACTTCAAGTCTTCAAGGAGCCTTGAACTTGATCTTCCTGCCTCTGCCTCTGGAGAGTGCCAGAGAGATATGGGTGACTCCCTGATAGGAATTACCTAGCCACGCCCCTGTCCCTGTCTGCCTGCCTACTGGGGACTTTGTCTAGCTCCGTCTCCTACAGGCTTTTTCTCCCACCAGCAGCCCCCACTGATGAACTAGCTCCAGCTTAAGACAGATTCTCCAACGCTCTGCTCTGCAGCAGTGGCAGACCAATTCAGCCCTTCTTTCTTCGAACTGACCAGCCCTAAATTAGGGAAGAAAGAGTTTGGAGAAGAAAAGACTAGAGTTCTCAACTTTCTGAGTCTCCCTCTGCTTTGCAGAGGGTCTTTTTCTTGAGCATCTGCCCTATGTGTGGGTCTGCTCACCTTCGTTAAAGGCCTCTGTTCAACTACTGATGCTATCTGGTTGTCTGTGCTCTTTGAGATTTCTCTGATGCTACCTATTGAGCTCGAGATTTTTCCTACCTTTTCATTTTTATTTTTTCCCTCTTTTTTTTTATTTTTTTATTTTTTTTTTAAATTTTTTTTGGAGATAGTGTTTCTCTGTGTAGTCTTGACTGTACTGGAACTCATTCTGTAGACCCAGGCTGGCCTTGAGCTCACAGAGATCCGCCAGCCTCTGCCTTCTGAGTGCTGGGATTAAAGGCGTGCTCCACTACAGCCCTGCCTCCTTCTCAGTCTTTGGCAGAGCAAACAAACCCAGTCAAGACCCCTGTCTATCTCTAGGATTACAAGTATGTGTCACCAGGATCCATTTGTGTTGTCCTGGGAAATCAAATCCAGGGCTTTCTGGACACTAGGTAAACACTCTCCCAATCGAACAACACCCATGGGGCCTTCAGTCTGATTTTGATGGCCATGAAAAACAACTAGTAATCGGTGCCTGGGGCGAGCAGCCTGTAGCACAGTGAGTCAAGACCAGGGCCTGAATGGATGGTGACTGCCTGCTTTAATTTGGGGGGGGCAGGGTACTCAGCCTCAAGTTGTCTTAGCAGGTGTGCTATGTATATTTAGTGAGGAGTTTCTATGGATCTCCAGTCTCATGCCCTGGCCAAGGTATGCACCTGATTCTCCCCACCGCCTCTCATGCATTCCTAACTTGCCTAAAGCTGGATGGAGTGCATACATCTCCTAAGATGCTGAGGCAAGAAGATGGTGAGTTCAAATCTAGCCTGGGCTATAAATAGAGAGAGCCTATCTAATAGATATATTAAACCAAACCAGAACTAACCCAAAACAAACAAAAGTAGGGAGTTTGGGTTTGTGTGTGCAGTATTTTGTGTCTTCATTGTATGTAGACCAGGCTAGCCTTGAATTTCAAGTGAACCTATGCTTCAGCCTCCTGAGTATTGGGATTACAGACTTAGCCACTGTCTTCAACTCCAAATAGACTTTTAGGACATCTCGGATACACTTATTAGTGTATATTTTAAATGTTTGTTGCTGTCGTGTGTCTATTATGCATACCGTGGCACATGTGTAGATGTCAGGACAATTTTCAGGAGTGGGTTTTTTCCTTCCACAGTGGGTTGTAGGTATCAGACTCCCCAGGCCTTGTGTGGCAAGCATGTTAGCTGTTGAGCCGTCTAGCCGGTCCTTTTGTTTGTTTGTTTGTTTTTTGTTTTTCGAGACAGGGTTTCTCTGTAGCTTCTGGAGCCTGTCCTGGAACTAGCTCTTGAAACCAGGCTGGCCTCGAACTCACAGAGATCCACCTGCTTCTGCCTCCCGAGTGCTGGGTTTAAAGGCGTGCACCACCACTGCCCGGCTCAGTCCTATTTATTTTTGAGGCACAGTTTAGCCCAGGCTGGCCTTATATTCATGGCAATTGTCCCCAAGTAGTGGGATTTCAGATGTAAGCTACCACACCTGGCTTCTTTGAAAGCCCCAAGGTTCTGATTAAATAGGCTAAAAAACCCAACTAAACAAACAAAATTCTCAGAACCTCTGAACTGTAAGTGGGCCACCCCATTAAATGTTTTCCTTTATAAGAGTTATGATCATAAGCCGGGCGGTGGTGGCACACACCTTTAATCCCAGCACTCGGGAGGCAGAGGCAGGCAGATCTCTGTGAGTTCGAGACCAGCCTGGTCTACAGAGCTAGTTCCAGGACAGGCTCCAAAGCTACAGAGAAACCCTGTCTCAAAAAAAAAAAAAAAAAGAGTTATGATCATGGTGTCTCTTCATAGCAACAGAAACCCTAAGACACCCTGCTTTCCTAGTTCCAGGATTACAGGTGGGCACCATCATGCCCTATGGGACCACCCTGCACTAGTCTCCCTGCTTCTGGCCTCTTCTAGCCCCATATCCCCAAACACCATTGCTAACCTGATCTCCCAAGTCCTCTTGGGTGGCCAACTATGGAGGGACTGCAGCAGAGAGGGGACTTGATTTTCCTGGTCTAAATCAGAGGTTCACATACAGCCTTATATTATGGTTTCATCTTTTGGAGTTAGCGGCTTAGGGAGATCTTTATTTTATACCTCAAAAGTAATTTTATTTTAAGATAATTAAAAAATAATTTACTAGCTGGGTGGCGGTAGCACACACTTTTAATTCCAGCACTCAAAAGGCATTGGCAGGCAGAGAGTTCCAGGACGGCCAAAGCTGTTTCATAGAGAAACCCTGTCTTTTTTTTTTTTTTTATTTTCGAGACAGGGTTTCTCCATAGCTTTTGGTTCCTGTCCTGGAACTAGCTTTTCTAGACCAGGCTGGCCTCGAACTCACACAGATCTGCCTGCCTCTGCCTCCCGAGTGCTGGGATTAAAGGCGTGTGCCACCACTGCCCGGCGAGAAACCCTGTCTTGAAAATCCAAAATAATAATAATGTATTTCAGCAGTGGCAGGAATTAAAACTAAGGCCTTGGGCATGCTGTGGAGCAAGGTACTACTGAAGTACATCCCCAGTCTCCCCAAACGGTTTTTAAAATTAAGAACTTGCAGCTCATATGCACTGCTGTGTACATGAGTTTTCTAACAGCCCATGTTTGACAGTCAGTGTGTGCTGGAGCAGGGTTGAAGTTCTAGGAGTCTTGATCAAGGCTCTGGCTAGGATAGGGCCAGCCATTCTGGAAGACCTCAGAGCTCCTTCTGTTGTTGTTGTTCATCTGACTATGTGAAGGTGTAAGGGACCAGCATCTCTCTGTGAAGTAGGTATCACAAGGCAACATTAGTTAATCCGGAGTTTAGTGGTCCAGAGGTTCTGCCCCCAATCCATTCATCCAATAGTTCATCCTCTACTCACCTGCTCATCTATCCAACCCTCCGCTGGTTTCAGGTCAGAAGCTGAACAGGGACACCGTCTCTGTCACCCGAGAGGACATTCCATCTCCTTTGGGAAGGATATTAAAGCCCGTCTTCTTTCCCTCCCAGACCCTTCACCAGAATCTCCTCTCTTACAGCACGGGCACTCCATCTCCCAAGGGCACCAGCCTCTCAATCTGAACCATTATGCCACCAAGAAGAGCGTGGCAGAGAGCATGTTGGATGTGGCGCTCTTCATGTCCAATGCCACGCGGCTGAAAGTGGTGCTGGAGCAGGGGCCATCCTCGCAGTACTACGCCACCCTCATAGCCCTCATCAGTGTCTCTCTGCTCCTGCAAGTTGTCATTGGCATTCTTCTCGTGGTTATCGGTAAGCCCAGCCCGCAGTCCCTTTCTGCCTTGGTGCCCCCTGGTGGTGGGAAAGGGCCCGGCATGCCCATGAAACTTCCCAGCCACCTGCCGACAGAACCAGTCCTCTATCCTACAGTGAGGGCAGCTCCTGTCCTTTCTCCTCATATCCCATCGATGGGCACCCATCGACAGCTGCTGAATGACTGACCCCACAGGACAGTCTTTTTTTTTTTTTCTTTTGGCTTTTCAAGATAGGGTTTCTCAGTGTAGCAGCCCTAACAGTTAGAGCTGGCTGGCCTTGAACTCACAGAGATCTGCCAATCTCTGCCTCCCAAGTGCTGGGATTAAAGGCTTGCACCAACACCGCCTGGCTGGTGGCGGTCTTATACTGTAAGCACCCGTCCCCTGTTCGACGATGTCTTTGCTCCCCACCCCTTTCTGTGAAGCACCTTGTAAATTGCCTCTTATGCCGGTCAGAAGACTCACACACATCTCAATCCAGTGATTTGATGTCTTCCCAGTCTCTAAAGCCAGGCTGTTTCCAAATTCCTGGGTGGGGAGAGGGAAGCTCCAGGCTTCAGCCCTGGATTCACCCACCACCCACCTGATCTTGTCTCCACAGCCAGGCTGAACCTGAATGAGGTAGGGAACCAGTGGCGTCTAAATCAGCTCAACAATGCTGCCACCTCCTTGGTCTTCACTACTGTGGTCATCAACATTTTTATCACCGCTTTCGGGGCACACAAGACAGGCTCCATGGCTGCCAGGACCTCCAGCAATCCTGTTTAATCCCTACCTAGGTCCCAGGTGAGGTGGAGGCCCAGAGGGCCTCAGATCCAAGGGCTCGCAACTGACCTTTGCTGCCTTTGGCCATTGGAATAAGAGGGCTCTCCCTCCCCACACCAAGGGGGAAGGTCTACAGACCTTTGGATAAGGCGGTTCTTGAAGGACTGATGGGCCTTGCACAGTACATACATGAGTGGTAAGATACACGTGTAAGCCTCCTGTAGTACATGCACCACGAATGCTGTTGTATCCACGAGTCAATCACGGTACATGAGCATTAAGTGTTAGTATTCATGGTAGCCTGCAACAGAAAATTAGTGCTGGTTTAAAGCGTGGGCCTCCCATAGTACACGCACCATGAGTGCTGGGTCATAAAATGAGCCCCCCACAAGTCAGTACATGTCTGACAAGGGGGACTTAGTGAGGCCTTCGCTCTGAAGGAGTGACGATCCTTCAGTTGGGACTGTCCCTTGTAACCCAGGCTAGACTTAAAGTCCCTGTGTAACCACAAGTGACAGGTGTGTCACCCCCAGGTCGTCTTTAGGGATATTTTTTTTGCCCCACAATTTGGGATGGGGTGGAAGGCCAATGTGGTTAGTGGGTGATGTGGCCTGTTGGGAAGAAAAGGAGCTGTGGCTTCTAGTTGGTGTTGTCCTGCAGTGTCCTAGTCAAGCACTGCTAGCTACTGCCACCTGGGCCCAAGAGCCAGCAGCAGCATCCACAGTGCTCCCTGGAGACACCTGGAAACTGCGCTTCAGGCTGCTGAATCACACCATTCTTTCCTTCCCCTGGTGACTTGGGTGCCAATCCAGCCTGAGGAGCCTCATTCGGCCCCGCCCTTTCATTTTGTCCGTCTACTTTCCCCACAGGAATTGAGCCTGAAGGGCCTCAGCCTTTGGCCCTGACCTGTCGGGCTAACTAGCACCTTCCACAGCCTCCAGGAGAGTTTCGGGGGCAAGGAAGATGCCCCTGCTTCCTGCCTGCAGCGCCTGAACTGAGTTGTGCCGTTCTACTGGGTGATGTGATTGCATCTTGGTCTGGAGGCCTGAGCTCAGCATCTGCAGCGGCCACCCTGTCCTCCAGCACCGGTAACTGGGTCTGCTCAGGCAGTCCACACGGCCTGCAGACTCTGGTTCCAATACATTCCTCCCCTCTGCTCCAAGCCTCAATTTTCCCTTCCCTATCTATAAAGATGTCTGAAAAGCCACCAAATTAGTCTTGCTGTCTGTCTCTAGTCATGTGGGCTCTGAGCCAGGCTGGTGTGTGGATGCCCTTGCCATCTGCACCTCACAAACAGGTACTGAGTGCTGGACTGATGAACACACAGAGTTTTAAAGACTCCACTGTCAACCTACTGTACTTTCCACATTAACAGTGTATCTTAGATGTCTTTTAAGAATACAGATTTTCAGCTGGTGAGAAAATGCAAACTTTCAGTGAGCAAAGGCGCTTGCTGCCAAGCCTGAGAACCCCATATGGTATGGGGTTGGGGAGAACCAACCACTGAAAGGCTGCCCTCTGGCCTGCCCCTGTGGCCTGCGTAGACCACACACACTCTAAATGAAGAAGCTTAATTTTAATCTTTGTTTTGTTTTGTTTTGAGGCAAGATTTCACCATGTAACCCTAGCTGTTGTGGAACTCACTCTGTGGACCAGGCTGGACTTGAGCTCACAGAGATCCACCTGCATTTGCCTCTGGAGTGCCGGGATTAAAGGCACCACTAAATGGCTTAAAATTTCTTTTTTAAAAAATGGGGTACTAGAGAGATGGCTTAGTGGTTTAGGGCACTGGCTGCTCTTCCAGAGGATCTGAGTTCGATTCCCAGCACCCACACGGTGACTCACACCTGTCTGTACTTCAGTTCCAGGGACTCTGATGCCCTCTTCTGGCCTCCTTGGGCACCAGGTACTCAGATGGTGCACAGATAGACATGCAGGCAGAACACCCACACATAGAAAATAAAACCTTGAAAAATAGGGGCTGGGGAGATGGCTCAGTGATGAAGAGCACTGACTGCTCTTCCAGAGGACCCAGGTTCAATTTCCAGCATCTATATGGCAGCTCACGTCTGTCTCTGTAACTCCAATTCCAAGGAATCTGACACCTTTACATAGATATACACGCAGACAAACACCAATGAACATAAAATGAAAATAAACTTTTAAAAATCTTGAAAAATTAAAGTTAAAAAAATTGCCTAGGTCAAACATAACTAGGAAGGCCAACTCACAGCTACAAATCATTAATAGGGCACCTTCAAACCACTCAGAAAAACTTTTCCATTTATTTGTTTATTTCTTTACTTCGGCAGGTTCTTGTTAGGTAGTCTTAGGCTGGCCCTGCACGCCTGATCTTCATGGCTCAGCTTCCCAAGTGCTGGGATTACGGTCGCTCTGTTTCAGACAGCCTTCTTCAGGTGGGGAAGCCTCTCCAGGTGAGGCTGTGACCTCCTCTAACCTGAGACACAGTCAGGGCAGTGTGGTGTCAGCAAGCACCGAGGCCAAAGGCAAGTCAGTCCTTGGCTGTCACTGAGCAAACAGCTGAGGGTCACTAGTGTTGTCCCCCAGCTCCTGGGCAACAGGAAAACAGCCCTTTGTTTTCTAAGATGCTGACTTTAATGCCCTCTTCCCTCTCCCCACCCACCGCACCTTCCTTTCCCTTAAGGCAGATGGTAAGGAGGTAACAGATATCAAACACAAGGCACTAGACCTGGGAGGGAGGTGGTGAGCAGGGTGGGCAAGGCCTGGAGGGTTCCCAGTCCTCAGAAACAGAGGAGGAGGACTGCAGGGACTGGCTCTGGCCTTCCAGCCCAATTCCAAGAGTCGATGGCCTTAGAGAAGCCTGGCACTCCACCTGTGCAGCTGCAGCCCTAGCCTACTTCCTATGTGCCTTTTCTAAAGGGCAGAAGGCCTGAGCAGGGATGAGAAGAGGCCACAGCCCATGGACAGAACCGCCCTGCCCTGCTGACTGCTTAAAGGCAAGCCCAGTGGGTTCCCAGTGGGCACCACTTTGCGGATGCCAAACTGTTCTTGGCACTCGCAGAGCCCACGACGTGGGTCCTACAGCTCCAAATGCTGCACTTTTGATTCACAGCGTGGAAGGCAGGCTCCGTGGAGTGGAACCCTTTCTGCTGCACACCACAAGTCCTTCCTCGCAGCGGAAAGGCGCTGCACAACCGCCCCCCCCCCCCCCAAGACTGGGTTTAATGCCCAGCATCTAATGCACCGCTGGTGCAGCAGCAGGAAGTCCCAGCCACAGAGCACTGGGACTATTAGTGCAAGATAAGTATGTGACATTAGGGGACAGAAAAGGTTACAGGCTGCTATCCCTAAAACTAACCATTTTCAGTTCTTCCTGTCCATGGCCTTGCCTCCCCCACCTCCCCCTGTCCCTTATGAGATGGCCACGTTTCACTGCTTCTTTTCCTCAGGGTCGGGAGGCTGGGGCTCTCTCCACAGAGGGCGAGGCCACAGGGCTGCTAAGCTTACAGTATACATTTTCTTCCCTTTTTGTCTCTCCCTGCTTGAGTCCCCCACAAATTCTCACTTAAGAAGTTGACTTAAGGGTTACCTATGTCACCTCTGGTGGTCTCTTATTATCTCCAGGTCTTAACTGGCAGACGAGCCAAAGGAGAAGGGGCATTTCTTGGCCAGCATGGCCTTGCTGGTTCTACATAGCCCATATGTCAGACACTGGGGAGAACGGGCCCACTGCCCACCCGTTCCCACTCTGCCCCATTGCAGTAGGAAGATGCCACCAATGTTGGGTTTCCACTGAAGAACCCACTCTCTGTAGGAGTTGGGTTAATACCCAGTCGGTGGCCGGCTACCTGTCCAGTGACTACCAGGACGGATGTGTGTGTTTGAAAGGCACAGACTTGGGCCTGGAGCTGAGGTACTCCGCATGGGACCAGCACCTCAGTGGGGCTGTGGGCTGCAATGCACAGGTTCACTCCCAGTCAGTGCTGGGTCTACACAGAAGTCTTCACTCTGTTAAAAATTATCCCCCGCTCGCCTCCACTCCAAATAAAATCTGTCCCATTAAAGTTTCTTGTTCATGGTCAACACCCCCGCCCCCCATGAGGAGGGCTGGGGTCGTGGGGATGCACCCTTGTGGTTCATGATGGTATCCTATTCAGGAGGGTGTTTTCTTCTGGACCTCACTGCCCATCCTATGCAGCTGTTCCAACTGTCAACTCAGTGGGTGGCAGAGGGGCCTCCGCACTTCTCCCTGCATGACGGGACAGCTCCTGGTGGAGAGGACAGTGAGCGCCGAGGCTTCTGTTCCTCATAGTCCCTCCTCGAGGTCAACCGGAAGTAAAGGAGCTGTAGGCAGCTGTCCCTGGCGGTCATGGCATCTTCATCTGGCGGCGATTCCACATGCCTCGCTTGGAATGGAAGTGATGGAAGAAGTTCCTGAGGGAGAGCCGATCCACTTCCAGGCCTGCTTGGAGGATCCTGGAGGATAGAGGGCAGTGTGAGCCTGCAGAAGCAGGAACGCTACAGGCACCCGGGCAACAGGCGTCCAGGAGCAACTGGGCCCTGAGGAACCCACCCTTCCCATCTTTGTCAGACCCTGCCCTCCTTCCTCTGGTCACTTCCCTTGGGGCAAAAAGCAATCCAGGTGCAGTGGGGCCGACCTGCCTGGATTGCAGTCACAGCTGTGTGACTCGAAAAGTTGCCTATCAAAACCACGCTCCCTCCTCTCTAGAAAAAGACAATAATCTTAGAGATGTGCATATCTATATAACACATCCATCCTCTGTAATTACACACACACACACACACACACACACACACACACACACACAACGCGCGCGCGCACACGCACAAAACGCGCGCGCGCACGCACACTGGATCTGCAGCGCACAGCACAGTCACCTTACAGTACCAGGAGCCCGGAACCGGAGAAACTACCCACAAGCTCTGCCCGTTCCTGTCTGGCTGTTTTGTAGGAGGAATCATCGTGTTAAGTAACCCAGGCTGGCCTCTAACTCAAGATCCTTCTACCTCAGCCCCCTGAAAACTGAGATTACAGGTGTGTGTCGCGGTCTGGCTTTTTTTTCTTACAGTGCTGGGGCTCAAACCCAAGGTCTTACACAGGCTAGGCACCGCTCTCATTTGCCCAGCCACCAAGGGAGGGGTCCCTTTCCGAGGAGGCCTATACTTCAAACAGGATGGCAAGTAGATGGAACCAGAAGCCGCTCTTTCCTCCGGTCTCAGAGACAGCGGGAGGGTTAAGAACTGTTTTGGAGGTCCGCATCAAAGCACAAACCCAGCAGGAAGGGTCATGTGTGGCAGTAACCACTACACTGGGCTCCCATGCTTCGGAGTCACTGTGATGTGGATCCCTGGGACTGAGTTATTTGACACAAGCTCTCTGAACCTCTCTCCACCCCACCTTTAATTCTCAGTATTTCAGTATTCTTCCGTTCTCTTCCCTCCAGCGGGGAATCAAAGATGGGTCTGATTTGAAAGCCTCTGCTGCTTTTCAGGAGAGAAGGGGCAAGTTATTAACTACTCTTCACGAGCGGTTTCCCCTCTGAGAAATAGAGACACCTGCACCGAGCCCAGGAGTTTGGTGAGAGGGATGAATGAGGCCCTGGGCATGAACCCCACTTGCCAATAATAACCCAGAGGTTGGTGGCTACACCTTGTCCTCCCTCTCAAGAAGTAGGAAGTCCCTGGTGCCCCTGGCCTTGTCCCTTCCTCCTTCCGGCACATACAGGCTTTCTTTCTCCCTCTTAGTGTCTCTCTCAGATCTTCCTTAGGCTCTTATCTCCAGGTAGCATCCTCTCCCTTCCCCTTCTTTTGGGAAAGAGGACTCACATGCAAATGCAGGGAGAAACAGTATCACTGCAACAGGCTCCTCCCCTTCTTGCGGCCCAGTGGCCACACAACCCTGCTTCTTGCTAACATTTTGCTGGCCATCTGCCCAGTCTACTGCTCCCACTGTGCCCCCCATTTCTCTCCTTTTTCCTTTTCTTTTTTTTGGGGGGGGGATGGGGATTGAGACAAGGTCTTGCTGTGTAACCCAGCCTGGCCTTGAACTTGTGGCAGCCTTCCTGCCTCCTGTCTCCCTAGTGCTGAGATTAGCAACACAGCTACCACACCAGGCTAAGAATACAAGTCTATGAGTATATGCTAACACATGGTATGCACTGGGTTATGTGTCTCAGTCTGTCTTTGTCCCAGGCTCAGT